GGTTGCATTGATAGGAGTGTTGCCAGCGGGTCAAGGGAAGTGATTATTCCTCTCTATTTAGCACTGATGAAGCCACATCTGGAGTACTGTGCTGAGTTTGGGCCCTCCACTCCAGAAAGGATGCAGACAAATTGGAGAGAGTCCAGTGGAGGACAATGAAAATGGTGAGAGGGCTGGGGCCCATGACTTCTGAAGAGAGGCTGAGGAAACTGGAGTTTATATAATGTAGAGAAGAGAAGGCTGAGAAGAGACTTAATAGCAGCCTTCAAACTACCAGATGGTGGGGTACAAAACAGGATGGAGCTACACTGTTCTCAGTGGTGGCAGATGACAGAACAATGGTCTCAAATTGGAGCAAAGGAAGTTTAGGTTAGGTATTAAGAAGAACTTTCTCACTAGGAGGGTAGTAAAACACTGGAAGAGGTTGTGGAATCTCCATCCTTGGAGGTTTTTAAGACCCAGGTAGGGTCTTAAGCCTTGGCTGGGATATTGTAGTTGGGGATGATCCTGCGTTGAGCAGAGGGTTGGATTATATGACCTTCTGAGGTCCCTTCCAACCCTAATTTTCTATGATTCTATGATTACATGGGAGACTGAGACCATAAGGGAAAATCAAGTATATACATTTTTAAGGGATTTATTTTTATGAACTATTGTCAAATGGTTAGTTTTCCTGGCATTGGTTAGAGAAGTAAAATAAGAGATTATACAAAGCTTGTTTCTTTGCATTTTCATGAGGTACAAGTTTTCAAAAATTCAATGGTGGATTTTTGGAAGGTTCAAGTCAAAGCAGTAGGCAAAGTTTACAGCCCTTCATACCTTCAGGGTGTGTGCAGACATTCAGGGAGGTCAGGAGAGTGTTAAATTGATCTAAGGTGACCTGGTCTAAGGTGAATCAGGAAGGGAGGCATCGGGGGGCAAGCAGGCTCCCAGGAGGTGATAGGGGTGGGTTTGGCAGCAAGCAAGCTAGCAAGGGGGTGGGGAGCAGAATCAGGGGATAAGGTAGCAGGCAGGGTCTGTGAGGAGGATTGGTGGGGCAGGCACAGTCTGTGGGGTCCTTGAGGCTCACCTGGGGGATGGGGGGCTGTCTCCCCACCCCACAGGATCAGGGGCTACTTTTAGCCATGCGCTCCCAGCCAAATAACCCCCTTATCCCACAAACGCCAGTAAATGTCACACCAGGAGTAGCTTGTGGAATGGGCAGAGGTTGGCAGACTGGGCAGGGGGACCTGGTTGGTCCATGGTTGGTAGCATGAACGACGCGAGCCTCCAGAGGCTGGGGGGCACGGCAACCACCCACAAGCAGCAGTGGGGGATGTGGTGGCAGCGAGCAGGGAGCTCTCACAGGCAGCCATGTCAGTGGCGGTGGCAGAGGTG